CCCCCCCCCCATTGTGATACATACTTGGAAGACTGGATCGGGGTCTTCATATTTCATGTACAGTAATGAAGAACCCCACCCATTTAGTGCGGACAGCCCACATACAACGCCGAGGACGCTACCAAAAGCTTCAGACAAGCCTGAACAACTAGACTTCACTCCAACACTTGCACTTGCCCCCTTCCCACCCCCATAAAAGCAACAAATAAATATCGGTACATCGTAGAACAATTTTTTTCTTCAGAGCTTCAGTGACCTTATGCATCTACCACTCTGTCGTCTCTTGCAATGAGTTTTGATTTTCCTAAGAGAGATGGGGAAAGAGAGAGTTAGCAGAGTTAGAACACCAGCTAATGAAAATCCATAGCGACCATGCAGGCCAGCTCCATGTCAACAGCTGTGATGGAAGGAAGATGGATGAGCTCAGCCAGTCAGAATCCGTACAGTGAGCAAAGCGGGGCAGCAGTTAGAGCAGAAGGAGCAGTACAGGGCAGAAAGATTTCCAGTGAGTCTAAGAGTGTGGAACTGTAAGCTGATCCCTGATGCATGTGTGTATTTTAAAGGTAAAATTGCACAATATTTTTGTTTGTTAGATATTTGTCAATAGTTTTGTTAGAGTTTATTGGAAATGGGTTTAGACTCATTAGCAGAATAAACAAAACATAAACTCTAAGGCAAACTGTATGGCGATTCAAGCTGATACATTCTTACAGACAATGCAGTCAGTGTTGGCTGCATTTGTTTGATAATTATCAATAAGCTCTCTTCCACAATACACCCTATTATAAGTCAGGATCTTCATTTATTTTATGAACTGTTACTTTGCACACAAGACTGGAGTTTAACTTAATCGTGATAGTAATATGAGTACATTTTTAAATGCTGTCATTGTGGTGAAATTTACATACTAGAAAAGATTCTTTTAGGAATTTAGAAGGCAAACCAGCGTGAACAATGACCGTTATTTTCATTTCAGTTATAAATCAAACCTGACTTAGTGGCGGTGGAGCCCAGGGTGCCGGCAGGACGCACTGACCTGAGGCCTGCTGAGATGGTGACCTCCTGCGCATGCTGCCCGGTTTCCTGGCCGTCATGCTGATGATGGAGCTGACGCTGCTGGCACGGGACAGGGGCAGGGACACGGGGGTCATGGGTGGAGAGTCCAGCTGGATAAAGCAAGTCCCAGACCATGTCATGCTTGGGTAGGACTTCCATTACAGGTACTAACTGCATAATTCCAGTCTTAGAATCAGACTCTTTATAGCCACACGATCAACACCAGTGTACATTTTTGTTGGCTCAACTTGCCTCTGCTGGAGACACCGTGACAAAGACAACTAACAATTGCAAGACAGAAGAGGCACAAGGGAGAGGAGTAAACCCAAGGTACGTGATAAAGTAGCTGAAACTCAAGCAGTGTAAATGTACAAAGCTTGTGGTAAGAGTAACTCCTCTCTATACGAAGAGCTTATTGGTTTAGAGTGAGTGCCAGTAGTATTTCAGGCAGTTGACATCAAGCACAATGCAGATATCCCTTGAGTTTTCATATATACAATTGTAACCAATTTCTTTAGTGAATTTTGAGAAAATATGAGGCTGATTTTTTCAGTTAGAAGTAACCGGAGTCGTCGAGATTTGGGAATTCCATGAATTTTTTCGCTGGGAGCCACACCTACTTCTCTAGTGACGCCTTCACCTGTTCCTGTCTACAGTTACTATCTCCACACCTTTGTTTCAAGCTGTTTGGTGACTCCTGTGATTATCTATTACGATAGTGCTCAAAACTTTCTTCCATTGAAATGAATGGTAACTATTCCTCTTGATTTCACGTTACCATGTTAGGCTCGTAAGTGGTGTAACCCTGAGTGTGTGCGTCAAGCGCCGACCACGCAGAATAAAGGCTTTGCGATCAGGGCGTGATTCACCGGCGGGAAGAGGGATTAGATGCAATGCAATGTCAGTCTGCGTCTGGCCAGGACTAGGTGTTTACCTCCAGGCTGTCATTGGTGGGAGAGGAAGACGTGGAGGAGTTCTCGGTGTGCTTTCGGCCAGCCGCGGCACTCAGCTCCACAGTCCGCACTCGCTGGGCAAACTTCAGGGAGCAAACGGACTCGCACGTATTGCTGTCCAATGGGGAAACCTGAAGGAGGGAGCAGGTCATGTGACTCTCGCACAATCAGACTGATCGTTAACTAAAGGTGCGTGCACCATCAAAAGCAAACCTCGTTCTCCAACAGCAAGATTATACTCCCCAAAAAAGGACAAAGACAATTAAAGAGTTAATGCAGTACAAGCTTAGATCAAGGTCACCACACACTTACTGTACATGTTTGTACCTAAAGACATAATTTTTTCCATTGACGACCCAAAACCACTTTTATTAGTAGAACTTCTTTCCTTCTGCCACTGATTAAACGTTTGTCTTAGATATGATCCAAGCCATCATCATTAATCTGAAAACTCACTATCGCTAAACCTGGGTACACACCAAGCCTACAGTATAGAAAAACTACTGCCAGCCAAGGACAAGAAGCGATCTGCCCCTCGATTGTGTGAATTTGTGCTGGAACACACCGGCACGACTAGAGGTGACATACAGCCCAATCAGAGTCTCAGTTTCACTAACTAGCGCCGATGCCAATTCAGCATGCTCAGCTAGCTGATTGTGTTGCACACACCAGTATGACAGGAGTCACTGGCTCTCATCAACAGCTTCCGGTGGCCGAAAAAAGCTTGGTGTGGTTCAGGCATTGCACTGTTAGCCAGGCGGTAGTTTGAGGTCACCTGTTGTTTTATAATAGCGCATTGATTTACTATGTGATTCATCTAGCTGTCATGATGTGTGTGGCTACAGGAACTTTGTCAACGCCCTTCTGACAAATCACATCTGAAGCTTCAACAGTGCTGTGGTATAATTACTTTTATCGGCAACTTTTAAATAGCTTATACATCATACAGTAGGGGGTCCATGTGTAACCCTGGTCGCATGCCGCCCGGATGCCGTTTGGCTGCATCTGCCTGATGCCGACTGCGCAGGAGCGGCAGCCCTCACATACCTGCACCAGCATGAGGGTCTTGCTGTCCCCGCTCAGCGAGTCCTGCAGCAGGTAGGTGAGACGGGAGTTGCGGAAGGGGATATGCGGCTGCTTGGCGCGCAGGGCGTGGATGACGTCCCCCAGGGCAGACAGGGATTTGTTGATGCACTGCGCCTCCCGCAGGCGGCTGCCTTCAGCACCCGACTTGGCAATGCGCTCCGACCCGGCAAGATCCACAAGGTTCAGTTTTCCTGCAGGGGAGGGGAAAACATCTGTTACGTCTCGTGGGGGCGGGGCAACACGCCTCAGCATAAAAGCCTTTTAACCAATCACTGTCAAGGCTTACTTCAGGTTATTTATCCCATTTTCACACAGATTGCATGTTTTAGGACATTTAAAAGGATTTAAGTACTAAATCAAGCAATATAACTAAACGGAACACTGGAATAACGTGCTAGAATTAGTGGCCGTAACAGTGATAATCCATATCTCCCCCTTTATTAACCCCCTTTATTTGTACTTTCCTGCATTTTTGAAATGCTCAAATATTTACATATAATGTATACAGGGTTTGAGTCCACAGGGGTGTTGGCCCCAGCTGAAAGCTGATTGGTCCCTGGAGTGCCCCTTCCCTTGTCACTCACCGATTCAAAACATATCATTGGCTAATAAGGTTGGCACCACCTTAAACATCCGAGAATTGCCCCTGTGTTTCTAGGTCAGGGCTCTTCAAATCTGGACCTCGATTCCAAATCCAGGCCTTGTTTTCAGTTCTCCTGGGTAGTTAGTTTAATAATTACTGATTCTGATTGGCCAGAGGCTTCACACCTGGCTCACAGGTAAAGGAAGGCTGGAGAATCAGCAGGTCTCAGACTTTTAGGACTGTGATTTGAACAGCCCTGTTCTAGGTAGCGTACATCTAACCTAATGGGACTCCAAAAGAAAAAAAAACTATCCAAGTAGGATCTAAACAGTGGTCACTACTGAGAATCTAGGAGGCTAATCAGTTATAGAGGGTATGGTGACAGAAGGTCACTTGGGACGCAGATTCAGTGCTCATGCTCTGACCTGCTGTGCGATGACCAGTGGTGGTGTTGAAGCCGGTGACAGTGACGACGAGCAGAGCGTGAGAACGGGAGCTGTGTTCATTCAGGTTGGTACAGGCTGTCGCCCGGTTCACATGGCCAAGTCCAAAAATCTACGAGGCAAGGAGAAGTTAGCACCTTTGAGGTCAATTCTAAAAGAAATCCCATGTAAATACTTCTGCGTGGGTTTCATAGACTTTGTTTACACTACAGAACTATAACATTTCTTATTAATTTTTTTTTTATAGTAACTGGTAGTAATGAAAGTAATGATTCATTCCTGCCACTCTAAAACTTTATACGCCAACATGGAGAGAGAAAAGCCACAAGCCAGGCTTTTGTTAGGCTAAGTCAGTTAAGGATTTTGTCTTCTTTCCTCAAACACATTCCACAAGATCCCTGGTTACAAAAGTGCATGTCTCAGGGTGTTTGTCAAGGAGGTCAAAATTTGCCTTATTTTGTCTGGGATGAAACCACACCCTACAGAAACAATGATGTAAACCTGGGGTGAGACTTACAGTTTCAGGCATGGCCAGCCCAATACATGAGAACTAAGTGGTTGCTTAGGGCCCAGTGGCCACCAGGGGGCTCCCCATCTGATCAGCCTGTGACGTGTGTATGTTCAGGCAAGAAGCTTTGTTTAGGGCCCCAAAAAAGAAGTGGGCTGGCCCTGGATTCAGATGTACACCTACCTTGTTAATATCCTCTACACTCTGCACGGTAATTTCCGTCAGTCCAGGCACGTACAGCTGACCACTGCCATCTGGGCATATCTTAATATCCAGCTTTTCACTGGGATCGTCTCCTAGTAGGTTCCTGAGAAGAAATGCCACATTTTATAAGCTGCATGACAAACTAATGAAGGTTCTGGAAGAGATCTAACATTGGGCACTATGGTCTAATCTTCTGTGCCGTTAATGCATATACACATAATATATCAGTTTCCAGGTACAAGTGTTTGCAGTTCATTTGCCAGTTTTCATGCTAGTGGAAAATTCCACAAGATAAGGGAACTTTGCACTGTACTTTAACATTCATCCTCTATGTTGAACCTAATTAACTGAAGCAATTATAACTATGTTAGAAAAAGTCATACATTGGTGTTACAACCACAGGAGAATGAATGTGTTAGCCTAACCAAAGCTATGCTCGCTAATGCTAGCTGTTGTACGACAGAGCTTCACTAAAGCTGGATGCGTACAAGTCGCTTATGAGCCAGATGGCCAAGCCCAGACAATAATAATCCATGTTAAACTCAACTAAATAAGACATCATAGGTTATGTAACAATGCTGATGACAGCATTAGTGTACAAACTGCTTACACCATGCAGTGAGTGGTCTGGTCTGCTTACACCATGCAGTGAGTGGTCTGGTCTGCTTACACCATGCAGTGAGTGGTCTGGTCTGCTTACACCATGCAGTGAGTGGTCTGGTTTGCTTACACCGTGACACTAGAGGTCTGGTCATACTGTGATGTCTGCTTCACTAGCACTTAGCAGGAGCTTTTACTGCAACCAATGACAAGCAGCCCCCCAAAAGCTGAGGGAAATAGCCAGACCACCCTTATCTTTCCAGCCTATGATACGAGCAATTTAGAACTTTATTTAAGATCTATAAAAAAACAAAACTTTATTCTCACCGAAGTATCTCGTTGTAGATCTCCGCCATGCTGACAGTGATGTTAAAGCGCCAATCTGGAGCCTTCTCTGATATTTCCGAGAAGAGCAACCGTAGTGCGCGTTGGTTAATGCCTGGGTTGTTCTCCACTCCCTTTGACAAGGGGGGGGGCACAAAAAAAGGCAGTGACTGATTAAAATCAATAACACTTGAGGGGGCAGTTGATGTTGAGCTGGACATTGATTACCTCCATGCTGTATGTCTTCCCTGAGCCTGTCTGTCCATAGGCAAAAATGCACACGTTGTAGCCATCGATACAGGAGGTTATCAGAGACTGAACTTCCCGGAAAACCTGGTCATTCAGAAGAAAGTAATGTTCATTTAACATGTTTCCATTTAAATACACTGAGCAATGCTGAGGCTAATTGGAGTTACTAAATTGCGCATAGGTGTGCATGTGTGAGTGAATGGTGTGTGGGTGAATGGTGTGTGAGTGAATGGTGTGTGAGTGGATGGAGTGTGAGTGAATGGTGTGTGGGTGAATGGTGTGTGAGTGAATGGTGTGTGAGTGAATGGTGTGTGAGTGGATGGTGTGTGAGTGAATGGTGTGTGAGTGGATGGTGTGTGAGTGAATGGTGTGTGAGTGAATGGTGTGTGAGTGGATGGTGTATGAGTGAATGTTGAGTGAGCGTGTCCTGCGATGGGCTGGCCCCCCATCCTGGGTTGTTTCCCGCCTCGTGCCTGTAGCTTCCGGGACAGGCTCTGGGCCCCCCACGACCCAAAAGGATAAGCGGTTTGGAAAATGGATGGATGGAAGACTGAGAAGGAACTGCTGCATTCAAGACTCACCTCCTCCTGAGTGGCTTCAGGCGGGAAAACTTTGTCTAGCTCAAACATAAGTGGTTTTCCCTTATTGGACAACTGCAGGACAGCATCATCATTGGGGTCAAAGGTTACTACGTTCTTGTCTTCATTTAGCTCCGCTTGGCTGACAGGCCGAACTCGGCAGAATACACGGATGTTTCCTGGGAAATCAGCGTGGATGGAGTTAGAGTGAGGTTCCTGACACATACTCCCAAAAAGGTGTTCAACAGCATTGGTCTATGCCATGGCGATTCAACTAAAATTGAATAACAGCAATGACTGGATCAGATGCTGCAATTGAAGGACCTAGAGAGCCCTGCAGAGCTGGTTACTTTGTGCCTTTTCAAAAATGTGAGTTTTAAGATTACTGGCAACATAAAATAGTGGCCCAGACAGTGGTCCACCTTTGGGACCAGACTGGGACTGGAGACAGCCAGTTGGTAACCACTGCTCTACACTGCCCTGGTTCCTACCTTTGAGTCGGACAAGCTCGTTGTGATACTTCTTCCGTAAGTTCATCTCCCTCTTGTACCTCCGCAGTAGCTCCTGGTTCGCAGCGTTGACCTCCTCGATCACCTGGCTGATCTGCAGGATCGAGGCCGGAGGTTAGCAGGCCTCGGGGTCATGTGAACGTGCAGGTGCACCTTGGACAGCCTCACCTCTGTTTTGGCTTCTGCTATGGCTTTCTTCAGCATTAAGGGGAAGTCCAGCACCTGCCTCTTCAGACAGTTGTAGTCGCAGGTGAGCGTGCGAAGGGCAGGCTGTAGGGTTAGCAGCTTCATCCGTACACCTAGGCAGGCAGTCAGCAGTGTTTACATGTTATAGGTGCTACTATAGACAGGAAACTCATAAATACATTTGTACGTGTCTGGGACTGACCTGCCAGGTTCTCGTGCACAGCCTTCATCTCACTTTCAGCTCTTATGAAGGCCTCCTCGATTATGCGGTTCTTCTCCTCCTCCAGTGTCTGCAGCTCCGCCTCCAGCTGGCTCTGGGCCCGCTCCATCTCGCCCTCATATGCCAGTATCTGGCGGCAGAGGCACCACACAGCATGAGGACTAACCAGACACTCTGGGGCTCCTCGCACCTCAACCCTGCACCACCCATCTAGAATGAAATATTAATCCATTTTCTGTTTTTCTCTTCTTCTAAGTGGCTTTTGTTGATGCTGACTCTCCATCCTTGAGTCAGCTCCTTACACCAAATCTCCTAGATATTTTGTTTGTAGGCGTTGATTTTTGGAGCAGTACGGAAAATATTCCTTACTGGAGTGCAGAGTTGAAAAAAGCAGCGAGATGGATAGTGAGCAGGGTTCTAGGCTCAGCTAAGTTCAAGGTAGTGGTTCGGTTCCGTCAATCTACATCGGGAAGTTTGAGGTGCAGGCACTGTATGTGATAACAGTGAGTCTGCAGGGCAGTGGGGTTCAGGAGAAGCACTAAGGATGGCAACATATATAAAGTAGAGCTTTGGGGGCCACAGAGCGGTAGACCAGACTCAACGAGAGACCAATATTTTTCATCATTCAAAGTTCAAAGTTCTTCTTCAACACAAGACTTATTCTGTGGGTGTCACATGAGGCCAATGTCCATCAAAGCATATTTTTTTTTAATTTAGCTTTTGTTTAAAGCAATGTGAAAGTGAGGATCAGACAGCAGAATCTACAGAGCAATTGGGGTTAAGGGCCTAGCTCAAGGACCCAACAGCATAACTCTGCCAGTCATGGGATTTGAGCCAGCAACCTTCCAATCACCGGCACAGAGTCCTAACCCGCAGAGCCACGCACCAAAGCCTTCTCATTGTAAGCTGCTCCGCTTCTATTTACCTTTGACCCCTAAGCATTAAAATAAAAGGCCAACCTTTGACAACCTACGAATGATCTCTCCATCGCCCCGCCCCATGGCCTTAGAAATAAGGCTGCAGAGTCGGCTCCGATCCCTCCCCAGCTGGAACGCAAGTGAAGAGCGATTAAGCAGAAGCTCTAGAGGCCACACAGTTACTGAGGTATGAGTGGGACCCAGCAGGGGGCTGATTCCACAAGAAAAATGCATCTAAAAAAGGCTGCAATATAATAGTGTGATAAATGGATCCATTCTATCCTTGGACGAATTTTGTCCAGAGTGAATCCCAGTGCTTCTGGTAATTTAGGAAGATTTTCAGCATGTGGCGGGTTGGGGGGGAACTATTAACTGGGTCACAGTGTCACAGATATAGAGGAAACCAAAGGGACCAGCAGACACATTGAGGTGTCTTAGCAGCTCACACTGCAGACACACTGAGGTGTCTTAGCAGCTCACACTGCAGACACACTGAGGTGTCTTAGCAGCTCACACTGCAGAACTGATGTGTATTCTATACAAAAACCATACATCCAAATTTTTGAAGCTGAGAACGGAACCCATAATACAGCGATTAATTTGCCGGATCCATTTACATTCCTTGATGGTCAATGTGTCACCATGCTACAGTGCGATCAGTGCAGCCAGCGATGGGGGGGTAGCGAGCCGTAGCATGCAGATGTGCCGCATACCTGTATGCGCAGCTGGCTGCCTGTCCTCTGCGACTCCTGCAGCTGCTGCTCCAGCTCGTAGAGGAGGCGCCTCTGTGCCAGCAGCTGCTCCTGTAGAGCCCGGTTCCGGGCCTGGGCCTCCGACAGCGCCGCCTTAGCCTGGGCTGACTCCACCTCTACGGTCTTAGTGACGTACTGTTGGAGAGATGGGAGACGCGGGTCGGCTTCATTCAAGTTCTGTTGTATGAAAATATAGGATTTTGAACATAAATAATACAAAGTATTTGGGAGTTGGAGGCCATTTTGGATTTTCTCATCTCTGATTGGTTCAAAGGGTCTTTTATGCCCTCACCCTTATCTGAGGGGGCTGAGCTGCCTGCTTGGACAGGGCCTGCTGGCATTCCTTCAGCTGGACGCCCAGAGTCCACTGCACCTCCTTGCGAGCCCGCAGTGCCTCCTCGAGCTGGTGCTGCTGCTGCGCCACCTGGGTCTCCCTCTCCTGCAGCCTCCTCTCCAGCTCTGCCAGCCTCCTCTCCCTTTGCTGGGCCTCCTGGTCTCGCCGTGCCACCTCAGCACGCAGAGACTCCGCATCCTGCCGCCGGCAGCCAGACGCCGCATGTCAGTCGCCAAACGAGGACATCGAATGTTATGAAAGATGCTTACGTGCACAAAATTAGTCAAACATAAACTTTCTGCGTAAAAGAAGTGATATTATATTTGCCTTTTGCAGAAGTACTTCCCTATTTGAGACACACACATTCACAGGGAGTGAATCTTGGGGTCTGAGCAAAGGGTCGACCTTCAATCCAGCACCCCAGGCGCAATCAGAGAGCAAAGGGCCTTCAAAGGCTCCCTGAAGATGTGACCATTCTGCTGAGCAAGGGGTTCAAACCCATGACCTCCTGATCACAGGCACAGAGGCCTAACCCACCAAGCCACACAGAACTACAGGCAAGCAGCCATCTTACATTAGTTACTGGTTTCCTGTTAGACCCCAGGCTGGGCTCTGACCTGGAGGTGCGGGCAGCTTATGCAGGCAGGCAGTGACACTGCAGCATCGGGCAGTGACACTGCAGCATCGGGCAGTGACACTGCAGCATCGGGCAGTGACACTGCAGCATCAGGCAGTGACACCCCACAGGCGCTCAGCTCCTGTTTGAGCCTCTCGTTCTCAGACACCAAGATCTCAAGGTGTTTCTCCAGGTCTGTTGCTCCCTAGAGAGAACAGTATTAAAGAAGGACATTTTTATATGAGGAATCAAAAATGTATCCATGGAGATTTGCCCGAAGGTCAGAAACGCTGTTCCTCTCATTCACCCACCAGCTCAGAGCGCAGTCGGACCACTTCCCGGGACTGATCCAGCAACTTCACCTTCAGGTCCTCCACCTGGTTACAAGAACAGTGAGTAGAAGACCCTCACCTGGTGTTAACTAACTAAATAACTGATGATAAACAACTGACTAATTCATTGTGTAACCTTTGCTATATGTAACATCCGCATTTCCATGGAAATGCATCTTCAGCGCAGGTGTCCTTTCCTAACCCTAACCCTAACCCTAACCCTAACGCACCTGTTTGCAGAGGCTGCTTATAAGAGTCTCCTGGTCCTTCTCTTGACTGCGCAGTCGGCCCGGTGTGCTGTGCCCCTCCACCGGCAGCGGTGCCGTCTCCCTCTCCGGGCTCTGGGGTACCTGGGTCGAGCAGCTTCCCAAACAGGGGTGCCTGAAATCTGCAGACATGCTTACATTCTACTGGCATACTGGGACGTGGGAGGCAGAGAGCTGAGAGTGATTCTCCAGCGTTACATTGGATAATTCAATCGAATTAGGGGCGGGGCCCCAGCCACAGCTGAAATATAATTGGCCCCCAGAGTGACCTTTCCTCTGTCACTCACCAATCCATAACATATCATTGGCTAATGATAATGTTGGCCCCTCTGTATGAATTATGGCTCCT